ACTTTATTAGGTACCCCATGCTAGTAACGGGTTGGACCACCTTTTGCCTTCAGAACTGCCTCAATTCTTCGTGGCATAGATTCAACAAGGTGCTGGAAGCATTCCTCAGGGAGTTTGGTCCATATTGACATGATGGCATCACACAGTTGCCGCAGATTTGTCGGCTGCACATCCATGATGCGAATCTCCCGTTCCACCACATCCCAAAGATGCTCTATTGGGTTGAGATCTGGTGACTGTGGAGGCCATTTTAGTACAGTGAACTCGTTGTCATGTTCAAGAAACCAATTTGAAATGATTAGAGCTTTGTGACATGGTGGAAGTAGCCATCAGAGGATGGGTACATGGTGGCCATAAAGGGATGGACATGGTCAGAAACAATGCTCAGGTAGGCCGTGGCATTTAAACGATGCCCAATTGGCACTAAGGGGCCTAAAGTGTGCCAGGAAAACATCCCCTAACACCATTACACCACCACCACCAGCCTGCACAGTGGTAACAAGGCATGATGGTTCCATGTTCTCATTCTGTTTACGCCAAATTCTGACTCTAACATCTGAATGTCTCAACAGAAATCGAGACTCATCAGACCAGGCAACATTTTTCCAGTCTTCAACTGTTCAATTTTGGTGAGCTCTTGCAAATTGTAGCCTCTTTTTCCTATTTGTAGTGGAGATGAGTGGTACCCGGTGGAGTCTTCTGCTGTTGTAGCCCATCCGCCTCAAGGTTGTGCGTGTTGTGGCTTCACAAATGCTTTGCTGCATACCTCGGTTGTAACGAGTGGTTATTTCAGTCACTGTTGCCCTTCTATCAGCTCGAACCAGTCTGGCCATTCTCCTCTGACCTCTGGCATCAACAAGGCATTTCCGCCCACAGAACTGCCGCTCACTGGATGTTTTTTCTTTTTCGGACCATTCTCTGTAAACCCTAGAGATGGTTGTGCGTGAAAATCCCAGTAGATTAGCAGTTTCTGAAATACTCAGACCAGCCCTTCTGGCACCAACAATCATGCCACGTTCAAAGTCACTCAAATCACCTTTCTTCCCCATACTGATGCTCGGTTTGAACTGCAGGAGATTGTCTTGACCATGTCTACATGCCTAAATGCACTGAGTTGCCGCCATGTGATTGGCTGCTTAGAAATTAAGTGTTAACGAGCAGTTGGACAGGTGTACCTAATAAAGTGGCCGGTGAGTGTATATATATATATATATATTTGGGCTGTCAAACGATTAATCGCATCCAAAATAAAAGTTTGTGTTTGCATAATATATGTGTGTGTACTGTGTATAATTATTATTAATACATAAATACCCACACATGCATGTGTATTTAAGAAATATTTACATGTATATACTGTATATAGACTGAATGTAGCCTATATATAATGTATATTTTATATAAATATAAACATTTTATATATAAATAACATATTTTTCTTAAATATATACATGTGTGCATTTATATACAAAATAATTATACACAGTACACACACATATATTATGTAAACACAAACTTTTATTTTGGATGCGATTAATCCCGATTAATCGCGATTTATCGTTTGACAACCCTAAATATATATATATACATACATACACATGCATACCCAAATACACTTCATTGTGACCACTGACAAGTATTTATTTCTTTAACCTCAATTATTCAACTTATTCAAGCAGCAAAAAAATACTAACAAAAATACAAAAGCAAAAAAACAAAACAATGGAGCTCTCCTACTTACACTACAGTGCTTCTTGATACCTCTTGAAAATTATTTCTTTGTACAATTTTTTAAATTGGAATTTGAGCATTGCTTTAGTTTATCATTTAGTTTATTCCACAATTTAACTCCGCAAATTGATAAACATGATCTTTTCCTTTTTGTTCTAAATCTATTATTCGTAAAATTTCCCCTTCCTCTTAAATTGTACCCTCCCTCCCTCTCAGAAAACATCTTTTGTATATTCCCAGGCAATAGGCTATTTCTTGCTTTGAACATGAATACTGCAATTTGGTATTCGATTAGATCTGGAATTTTTAGCAATTTAGACTGCAAAAATAATGAATGTGTGTGATCCCGAAATCCAACGTTGTGGATGATTCTCATGGCTCTTTTTTGCATTATAACTAGTGGCTGTAGTGAAGTGCTTCCCCAAACCTCGCTCTACACAATAATTCAAATAAGGTAACAATAGTGAACAGTACAAAATGTGAAGTGATTTAAGCTCCAGTATGTGCTTAGCTCTTGCTAGGACCGCAATACTTTTGGACAGTTTGGTTTTGATGTATTTTATGTGAGGCTTCCAGCAAATCTTCTCATCTATGATCACTCCAAGGAATTTATTTTCATGTACTCTTTCTGTTAACACCCTCTCTCTGTATCTGTGCTTGATGATTTGACTTACAGTTTCCGAATACCATGAATGTAGTTTTACTCAAATTTATTGATAACCTATTTATGTCAAACCATTGTTTTATTTTCTTGAATTCTGAAGTGATTCATTCCAAGAGTTGCAGTAAGCTGTCCCCTGAACCAAATATGTTTGTATCATCAGCAAATAATACAAAATTCAATACTTCAGATACTTTACAAATATCATTGATGTATAATAAAAACAACTTTGGTCCCAACACTGACCCCTGGGGGACACCACAAGCCATGCCCAGACATTCAGACGAATAATCTCCCATCTTCACAAATTGTTGTCTGTCTCTGTTTAGAACGACCCCCCTAATCCCAATTCGTTCCAGTTTCCTGATTAATATTTTATGATTTATTGTATCAAATGCTTTTTTTTTTAGATTAATGAATACCCCAACTGCATATTTCTTTTTGTCTGTGGAGTTTGTGATTTCTTCAATGAGTTCTGTTAGTGCTAATGATGTTGAACTATTTTTTCTAAATCCATATTGGCTGTCAGTGAGTAGTTTGTTTTTATCGATGAATATCTCTAATCTGTTGTTAAATAGTTTTTCTACAATTTTAGATAATTGTGGCAGTAGAGAGACAGGCCTGTAATTTGTGAAGTGGTGTTTATTTCCAGTTTTGTATAGAGGAATGACTTTTGCTATTTTCATTTTTGTTGGAAATTGACCGGTTAGAAATGATAAATTGCAGATAGTCGTTAGTGGTTTGGCGATCCCCTCTATTACTTTTTGTATAATTTTTATATCTATTCCATCATGACCAGTGGATGGTTTGTTTTTGCATGCTTTAATTTCTTTTTTATTTCTTTTTCATCAACTGCTGTCAGAAATATTGATCTGGGATTAGTTATTATATCGACTTTCTAATGTTTGTGGAACTGGGATTTGTTTAGTTAAGTTTGGTCCCACGTTTGCAAAAAATGTATTGAAGTCATTAACCACATCCTCCATGTTATTGATATTTTTATCATTATCAATAAAGTAATGGGGATAAGTAGTCTGTCTAGTATTATTTTTAATAATATTATTTAAAAAATGTTCCACATACATTTAATATTGTTTTTATTATTATCTAATAGTTTTGTGTAATATTCTTTCTTACAAGTTCTCATAATACTGGTTAACTTATTCTTATTTTCGGTCCCTATAGTTCTGTGTTTTATGAATTCTCTATAAAGTGTATTTTTCTTTTTACAGGTTGTGTAATCCCTTGGAAATCCACGGTCTATCATTTTGTTTTTGTTTCCTGCTATATATTTTAATTGGGCATTTTTTATCATATAATAATTGAAATATTCTTAGGAATTCTTCATATGTTTGTCAACAATAAACTCCCAGTCTTGTGCTAGCAGATCAACTTTAAATGCCTCCATTGTTTCTTCTGTTCTGACCCTTTTGGAAAGTGGTTTATTCCCATGTCTGTTTAACGTGTAGTTACGGTCATACACTGTAAAAATCGGTAGGTGGTCACTGATATCGTTTATCAGTAATCCACTCACTGTATTGTTTCGTATGCTATTTGTAAATATATTGTCTATTAGTGTTGCACAATGAGAAGTTATTCGGCTGGGTCTGGTAATTTGGGGATAAAGGCCTAGACTAAACACGGTGTTGATAAAATCCTCAGTCATTTTTATGGTTATTTGGGTTTAACAAATCGATATTGAAGTCCCCACAGATGAACATGACTTTTGGGCTAGTTTTTGTAAATGTCTCTTCTATCCAGTCCTTAAATATGTCAATATTCGAACCTGGTGACCTGTATATGCAACTTACAATAATATTTTTCTTTTTTTCCATACATATTCCAGTAAACTCTCCACCACCATTGACATTTTTTCCACCACCTTATAATTTAAATCCACATACAGCGTCACACCACCCCCGCTCTTGTTTACTCTGTTAATAGAAGACATTTCATATCCTTCCATTTCAAAATCTGATCCCTTTTCACTATTTATCCAAGTTTCTGTTATTGCAATTATGTTAAAGTGCTGTTTCAATTGATTTAGATAGTGTTTTATACTGTGAAAGTTGGCACACAGACTTCTGCTGTTAAAGTGGATAATGGATAATTGCGGTTCGGTCTTGATTGAACTGTTAAACTGTTCATCGGTGTAATAGTGGCAGTTATTGTTGATGTTAGCAAAGAAGTTGTTCACTGGATCAATGTCCTGTGAGTGGTGTTCAGTGTACTGAAAGGTGTTTAGTATGTTTAGTTTTAGGTGCTCATATTCAACCACCCTTTGTATTGAGTGAGTGACTATCTCCGTTATGTGTGTGCGTTTTATTTAGTAACATAGTGAGATTAAAATTTATCATCAACATATCATAGGCCTACCTGTTTATGTATTAATGTTAGCTGGCCTTGGTTGTTTTGGTGTGCTGGACCGAACTTTTGTTGATCACGGAGTTTTTTTTTTGTTGTTGCAATAATTCAAAAGCAAATTGTGTGACAGAACCAGTGTGATGCAAACTTAGGGGTTGGCCTATACAAATACATCATCACTGCATCGAACTATTTCGACGTAATATCAGAGTTAAACGGCTTCTGGATCAAGAACAAATGTGGGGGTCGACCAAGATGGCGCTCTGAGTGGACGTGTTTCTCTGAGCTCCGCAAACCGAACTGTTTTCCATATTGTTAAAGAGTGTACAAAACGGACTTTTTGCTTTTAGTTCATGTACCGCGTTTGTCCGGCTGTATTCTGATTACCTTTGCTGGTAAAATGAAGCCTCAGGAGAAGAGGAAAAGCGGCGCTAAAAAAGCGCTTGCTAGTACGTGTTCTACTAACATGACTGAAACGTTAGCTCCCACTGAGCAGTCAGATACAAACAACATGCTCATTGACAACATGCACGACTACCTCGAGTCAGACACGGAGGTACTGAAGGTCTCGTTAGTGGATGACAATTTTCCGCAACTTCCCATCACCCCGGTTAAATCACCTGCACCTAAATGGAGACGTGTGGAAGATACGACAACTACCGCAATCCTCTCCCAGCTTTCCTCCCTCTCTCAGCTGATAAACAGCAGGTCAGATGCCTTGGAAAAGTTGGTCAGTGACAACTCCTTGGTGATTGCCGAAGTGAAGATGGCAGTTACAGAAAACACCAAGCAGATCGCCGGTATTAAAGATTCATTTGATGCTGTTTGTGCTGAAGTAAAAAGCGTTAAAGAGAGAGTTGACCGCTGTGAATCGCTGATTGAGGCTTGCAAAGTTAATACTGACAAGACTGAGCAGCGTGTTTCTCAATTAGAAGCGTACTCCCGACGCTGGAATCTCAAGCTCTACGGCCTAGAAGAAAACGATCAGCAGGATCTGCGACATGAGATTATCAAGATATGCCAGGGTCTGCTTCCAGAGGCCAAAACCAAGCTTCCAGATGCCATAGACGTCATTCACCGCCTCGGCCCCAGGAAGCCTGGTAACATTCAACCGAGAGGTGTCATCGTGCGCTTCTCTTCCAGATTCTACCGTGATGCCGTGTGGCGCTCCGCAAAGAACTCCGGCTTCCTGAAGACCAAAAACCTGAAACTGGCGGAGGACTTGTCAGCAGAGGACAGAGAGAAAAGAAAGAAACTGTGGCCCGTTGTTGATCAGGCTCGGAAAGATGGCAAGCCAGCTTTCTTCGTGGGCGGTCGTGCTTTTGTGGGTGGAAAGGAAATTCTCCCACCTTGAGACTTTGTAGATGAGGTAATTCTAGTAAGTTACACAGCTTAAGGTTGTCTTTACTTTATATGTTCTTTATGTGATTTAGTCAGGTTTTATTACCTGTTATTTATGTTATTGAATCAAAGTTGCTCTTTGGAGCAGAGGTGTGTCAAAAATTGTTCTAACATGCTTTTTAATGCATAGCATGTCACATATGTTCAGCAATATTTTTATTTTGTTGTTTTAACTATCACGGCTTGATAGCGTTTCAAAAGCTGTTTATCAGCTTTTCATTTATGTATAGTTACTTTTCCTCGAAAAAAAAAAAAAATTTAATAATAATTCTTTATAATTACAAATTTGAGTGGGAGTAAAAGAAAACGGGTGCTTTTTAGCCTCTCCTTGCAAAGGACTCTTTTCATAAAATGTCTACAGTTTGATTGATTGTACTGATAGCATTTGTTCACAAATTTCACATAAGGTTTGCTGTTCTCAGACTCATGTTGGCGCTTTTGTAGAGACCTTATCCTACTTATTTTCATATACGCACTACCATTTTTCTGGTCTAGTTTTTCTTGTATTTATTTACTTTATCTTTTTTCTTATGTCTTTATCTATTATTTCTTTAAACACAAGAGGTTTAAGAAACCACCTTAAACGAAAGGCTATATTTTTATACTGTAAACAGCTTAATACTGACTTTTGTTTTGTACAGGAATCACACTCAATTGAACAGGATGCTAACTTTTGGAAATCACAGTGGGGGGGTGACCTGTGGCTGTCTCATGGATCTGAGCGCTCAGCTGGTGTTTGTATTTTAAAAAACCGCTTTAGTGGAAAAGTTTTAAACTCTGACTGTGACAAAAGCGGTCATTACATATTTCTAGTTCTAGAAATTGCTAGCGTAAATTATATTATAGTTAATGCTTATGGCTTCAATTCTCAAACAGAGAACAAAAGTTTTTTTGATAATTTGGAGTAACGACTCTCTTACTGGTTATCTAAATTCCCAAATTCTTTTATCGTTTTGGGCGGAGATTTTAATACCGTGTTAGATAATTGCCTGGATAGGTTGCCTGCAAGGAATGCGGACTCCTCTAATATTTATGTGAAGACGCTCTTAAATAGTTTTAATTTAACCGATATTTGGAGAGATACTCACCCGCTACAGAAATCATATACATGGAGCAACAAAACATTATCAAGGCAGTCTCGCATTGATTTCTGGCTTATATCCAAGGATCTGAAAAATGTAGCTGCGAACATTTTACCATCGCCCCTATCTGATCATAAGACTATTCAAGTTCTCATTCCTTCTCTCTCTCCCGGTTCTCCTAAAACCTCTTATTGGAAACTTAATAGTACACTCCTTAAACACAAGGAAGTGACTTCTAAAATTGAGAGTTTTATTCGGCTTTACTGGGACAAAGCTCAAAGTGAGAATTCTTTTAGCAATAACTGGGAGTTGTTAAAGTACGAAACTGCTAAATTTCTCAGGAAATACAGTAGTGATTTAGCTAAAAAAAGAAGAACAGAGGAAAACGATACTATACTTAAAATTGCATCCTTAACTTCTCAGTCTTTAGATGTACTTACTGAGTCAGAACAGTTGGAGCTTACTAATCAGCAGCATAGGTTGGACGAGATATATAAAAGAAAAGCGGAAGGTGCTTTTGTTAGATCTCGCCGTAGGTGGCTCGAAGAGGGCGAGCAGAATTCTGCATATTTCTTTCGACTAGAAAAGCAGCAATCAAAAAATAACACCATTCAACAATTAAGTATTGATGGAACAATTACTGATGATTCAAAGAAAATTGCCAAGTATTGTGCTGGATTTTACAGTGATCTTTACACCTCTAGATATTGTCCTCAAGATGCCACATGTTTTTTTAATTCTATTCCTAATATCAATCAGATTTCTGAAGCTAATTGTGACTTTTGCGATGCCTCTATTTCTCTAAATGAAATTACTAATGCCATTAATCAACTAAAAATCAATAAATCACCCGGAACGGACGGCTTTACTGCCGAATTTTATAAGCATTTTTCTCTGAGCCTAGCCCCATTTTTAAAAGAAGTTTTTGCTGAGAGTGTTTATAGAGGTTCCTTGCCACCTACATTAAGTCAGGGTCTAATTACACTCATTCCTAAGCCTAAGAAAGATTCTCTCCTGTTAGATAATTGGCGCCCCATTTCCTTATTAAATAGTGACTATAAGATTTTTGCTCTTATACTTGCCAAGAGACTGAAATCAGTTCTAGACTCTATTATTGATGAGAGTCAATCTGGGTTCATGCGTAATAGACACATCTCAAATAATGTGAGATTGATTTTAGATTTATTAGACTACTCTGAGCTAGTTCATGAAGACAGTTTTATTCTTTTCTTAGACTTTTATAAAGCATTTGATTCCTTAGAGCACGATTTTGTAATGGAAACCTTAAAAAAGTTCGGTTTTGGTCAGTTCTTCTGCAGATCGGTCCAAACTTTGTACGCTAATGGAAACAGTTCTATTAAATTAAGCAATGGTACATCCCCTAGATTTGATTTAAAGCGTGGAGTACGGCAGGGGTGTCCTCTTTCTGTTTATCTGTTCCTTCTCGCTGCCCAACTTCTTAATCTACACATTAAAAACAGTCCTATTAAAGGCATTAGTGTGGCAAATAATCATATTTTAATCAGTCAGTTGGCGGATGATACAGCCTTGTTTCTGGCAGATGCTTCACAGGTTTCAGTTGCGATTAATCTTATTCGCTCTTTTTCTAAAGCTTCCGGTCTCACCCTCAATCTTAGCAAATGTGAACTGTTACCAGTGAATAACTGCTCTGCTTCCGTAGTGTATAATATCCCTGTAAGAGACTCAGTCACATATCTTGGTGTACATATCACAAAAGATAGAAAAGCCAGAGGTAAGTTAAACTTTTTTCCCCTCATTGAAAAAACTCAAAAGGTTTTCAACCGATGGTTACAAAGAGATCTTTCTCTGAAAGGCAGAGTTCTAATCACCAAGGCGGAAGGTATTTCTCGTTTAACCTATGCTGCTCAGTCATTACATGTAGATAACTCCTTTTGTAAATCTGTCGATAAGATGCTATTTAATTTTCTATGGAAAAATAAAACTCACTATGTTCGTAAGTCTGTAGTTCTGAATTCTTACAACAAAGGGGGCTTAAATTTCATAGACTTTAGCTCTCTCAACAACACATTCAAGATAAATTGGATCAAGCAATATCTCAAACACCCTACTTCCATCTGGAATTTTATTTCTCATTATGTCTTTTCACAGTTAGGCGGCCTAAAATTTATTCTGCTCTGTAACTATAAAATACAAAAAATCCCAGTTAAACTCTCCAATTTCCACCAACAGGCTCTTTTAGCATGGGCTTTGCTTTACAAGCATAACTTCTCTCCACAGAGGTGTTATATATGGAACAATCTCAATATTGTTTATAAGAACAAGTCGCTTTTTTACGATAATTGGTTCAACAATGGTATTTTATTAGTCAGTCAACTCTTTAATAAGAATGGACTACTATATAGTTATTCAGAATTTCTTGCCAAATATAAGATTCCAGTAAGCCCAAGAGAATTTTCTATAGTTTTTGATGCTGTGCCCTCAGGTCTTCGTATGTTATTCAGGTCAATTGATATCTCTCCACCATTATCAATGTCACCCCCAGATCCAACTCAGCTTCCGTTAGGTAAAGTCTGTTTCTCTACCTATAAAGCATCGAACTCCAAAATTAGATCCTTGTTTCAGGCGGACCTAGTCTCTATTTCTCCTGCATCCTTCTATTGGAATAAGTTTGACCTCAACATAGACTGGGAAAAAGTCTGGTCCCTACCCCAGAAGTTCCTTTTAACTAACAAAATTAAAGAAGTCTCGTTCAAGTTACTACACAGGTTTTACCCCACAAATGTATGCTTAAATAAGTTTAAGAATGACATTGATGTAAAATGCTCCTTTTGTGGCTTACATCCTGAAACTATTTCACATTTATTTTGGTCTTGTGAATGCACTTATAAGCTCTGGAAAGACATTAATTCATTTGTAGTTGACAATATTCTTCCTGAGTTCTCCCTGTACTACAAAAATGTAATTTTTGGTTGTTTTAGTGACTGTGGGAAGGACATTGGTGCTCTCTTTCTAGTAAACCTAATCTTATTTGTTGCCAAATTCCATATCCATAAATGTAAATTCAGTAATAAAAAACCACTTTTTTCGGTGCTAAAAACTGAAATGGAACATTATATTTCTACCATCTCTTCCATGCAAAACAAAAAAGCTGTTAAAACTGTAGTTAATTGTACTATGTTTAATGTGTTTATTTGAGTAATAATCTTGTGTTTTAGTGTCTGTATTTTTTTATTTATTTGTATTTATTTTATTTATTTGTTTATTTTTTATTTTTTGGGGTATTTCTCTAACTTTTGCTATTTTGATTGTATTGTTGATTATCTTCAAAAAAAAAAAAAAAAAACCAAGAACAAATGTGGGCGGGGCTTGATTTTATCCATGAGGAACTGATTGGATGGTTGTGGTTTGCTATTGGTGGATCTCATGTGAGTGACAGGTTGCCCCGCCCTCGTCATCAGAGAAGAGATGTTGAATTGTCAATTTTGATTCTCTAAGTTGATGACTTTAGGATTCACACTGGCAGGAACTTATATAGAAACACTTTTTCTTCCACTGTTTTGTATGAGTTGTCTATGCCCACATATAAGAGATACTTTTTTTTTTATTATACATGGAAGACTGATAAAAATTATAAATGTTTGATTTTTCTTCTTCATAATGTGATGAATGACAAATACTTTCCAAAACATAAATGTAATTAATTTTATTTTTTTTGCATAAAAATACATGGATGGAAACACAGCTAGTCTCTCCAGCAAACAAATCACTTTCAATGTGAACAAGACACTGGTGTTAAAAACATAAACTGCTTCAATCTGTTTAATGTCAATAAAAGCCAAAGAGAACGCTCAGGTTTAGCAAACACTTTATATTCATTAACAGTAAAAAAAAATGTTGTCTCTCTATTTCATTGTCATAATTGATCATTATTCAGTCTTTTACAGGGGTTTTATAAATGGCACGAGTGTGTATTTTTAACATATGAGGATTTACATGTTTGAGTCAAAGCATGTGTCATGTGACAAAGCAGCAATAACCTGACAAGATGCTCAAGATGAAATAAACACTCATATTTCAGTTGATGTGTGGTTATCAGTGTGTGGTCCTTATAAAAGTAAACTGGTGTCTGACATACTGATAATCCTTATTATGCTCCTAAAAGTTAAGTATACAGTAAATGTCAATGCATTCAAAGACAAATCTTCTGTGAAGCTGATAAAGCTCACCGGACTTTGATGTCACATTTATTGTATGTGTGTTTGAATGAATGCAAAGCTTAACGAATTGAGAAAACGTGACAAGAGGGATCACATGACAAACACTTGTTTGGTGGACACATACGGCTTCATGGCGTTCTCAAGGGCTTTTCCGAAGTCTTGGAGCCTGACTTCAGCGCAAGCCGGAGCCGACAGCTTCCCCGCACGGATGAGGACGCACAGTTCATCCAGCATGTTTCGTAAGGCGTCTTCATCTATCACAGGAGGCCAAAGGTGTTAACGAGTATTTTAGATTTAACTCTATATAGGTCCTCCTCACACAAGACTTTTCCTGGGGGAAACTCACCATGTTTGTTCTCTCTCTTCCATTGGGTCACCCAAAAACCTCTTATTTTCACATCTTTAAAGATAAGTGCACTCTAAAGAAAGAATAATACTTATATAATTTCAATGTACACCCAATTCTATTATAACTACGTATATAAAGCCAGATATCAAGGTTCATAAAGTCGCACTCACCACTGGGACAGTGACTGGTTGTTTGGCCATCCCACCGTAGGTCACCATACTCCCTCCACTTCTGAAGAACACACAGAAGACTGAACACACACTCGGTCAAGGGTCCCATTATATAGTTAAACATTATGTCCTATTATGCTTTTTGACATTCAACTCTCTTTGAGCATGAGAAAAAGCTCTGCAAAGTTACAAAGTTCTTCTCATATCAGTGTTTCTGAAGTCCCTGAAACGCCTCCATTGTAGTCTTTTGGGAACGAACACGTCACAATATTCCTCATTTACATAATTCATACGCAGAATAATGGGACGAGTGGTTGAGTTAGTTAGTAGTGTGTTAAACTGGCGGTTATGGAAAGGGGCGGGACGTTTCACAAACACACTTGAAACGCTCGACCAATCACAACACAGCCGACCAGGTGGACTCTATGGACCTTTTTAAAGCTCAGGCTAAAACTGATCTGTTAAGAATAGCTTTTAGTGACTTGATTATTTGATTATATGTTTGATCTGTACATTTGTGTTTTTGCATGGCTTTACTGACCAGCTTTTAAGCTGTACAGTGTCCTTGAGTGACATCGCCTATAAATAAAAGGTATTATTGTTGTTATTTTCTTTTTTTCTTTTTTCTTTTTGACTTTTTAAACATAATATAATATAATATAATATAATATATATACACTACCGTTCAAAAGTTTGGGGTCAGTGAGAATTTTATTTTTATTTTTTGGAGGAAAGAAATCAATACTTTTATTTATCAAGGAATAATTAATTTGATCGAAAGTGACAGTAAAGACATTTATAATGTTACAAAAGTCTTTTGAACTTCCTATTCATCAAAGAATCCTAAAAAAAAAAAAAAAACTGTACAACTGACAGACCAACAACTGTTTCAACATTGATAATAATAATAAATGTTTCTTGAGCATCAAATCCTCATATTATACTGATTTGTGAAGGACACTGAAGACACTGACACTGGTGATGCTGAACATTTTACAGGAATAAATTACACTTTACTATATATTCACACAGAAAACAGCTGATTTACACTGGAATAATATTTAATACTATAACTGATTTTTGTTGTATTTTTAATCAAATAAGCGCAGCCATGGTTAGCAGAAGAGAATTCTTTTAAAAGTATTTAAAATCGTACCGACCCCAAACTTTTGAACGGTAGTGTATATACAGGTGAAACTCAAAAAATGTGAATATCGTGCAAAAGTTAATTTATTTAAGTAATTCAACTTAAAAGGTGAAACTAGTATATTATATAGACTCATTACATGCAAAGTGAGATATGTCAAGCCTTTATTTGTTATAATTGTGATGATTATGGCTTACAGCTTATGAATACCCCAAATTCAAAATTAGAATATTGTGAAAAGGTTTTCATATCTGTAAGCCATAATCATCACAATTATAACAAATAAAGGCTTGAAATATTTAAGAATTTAAGTTGAATTACTGAAATAAATTAACTTTTGCTCGATATTCTAATTTTTCGAGTTTCACCTATAATATAATATAATAGAATATAATATAATATAATATAACAATCTTGTGGCCCGCTTGGAAGTTACTTTTGCATGCTTTAGAATATATATATATATTTTTTTTTAAATCTCTATGGGGAAAATGAATGAGAAAAACACCTGTGCAACGAAGGCTGCTGCAGAAGTAGGTGGACACTGTTATACATTTTGATGATCATTTCTGTGTTTAGAAAACTTACTGTAAAAGGCGTAACAGCTCTGTGGCGCTCTTTCCTCCAACTCCATTCAGTGCCAGTTTCGGTCGAGGACACGACTGTTAAAAACAAACGCTGAACATGATCAAGATAGAGTCTCTTTCAAGCTACAGAATGCTTCTATAACACACATTTCACATACGGACAAAGCAAATATACGGCTGTATAGTGACCTTGAGAAGCTCCCTCGTCTCTGGCCGTCTCAGTTTCTCCTCTGTAATGACGTGAGTGGCTCCCAGGGCTGTCAGGGTGTCACAGAGATGCTGCACGTCAGGCCTGGAACGGGGAACAAGCTGCTTTACACAGTGACTAATCGGTAACGCTTCCTTTTACAGAACAGTACTTATGTGTACTTACCTAGAAAGTACTGGCTTATATAAGGTAAGTACATGGGTTAGGGGTAGGTTCAGGGTTAGTACCTAGTTATTACCCAGTAATTGTAATTACTATAATAAGTACATAGTATGTACATGGGTAACAGGACTGTAAACCCAAGCGTTACCACAAAATCATCCCAGCATCTTCTGTTTTCAGGAGCTGTTAAAGCAGACTGATTTCAAGTCAACATAAAAACAACCTATTTTACTTCCATACATTTCCAAGTGAAAAGGGATATTCAAAAAGAGAGTGTTTTATATTCCAGCAATTGGACTCATGTCTGCACTGAAGAGAAATTATGAAAAAATATGAGCTGATTAAGATTATTTGAATCACTTTAAATGCTTTAGATCTGCGTTTGCAAATCACTGCCTATATTGAGTACTTTGCAAAACTTAATTGTAAGAAACTTATCAATAATTTTGACATCCGTGATATGAAACTAAATTACACTGATGGTAATGCAAAGGTTCGTTTATTTCAGTAATTCAACTTAAAAGGTGAAACTAATATATTATATAGACTCATTACATGCAAAGTGAGATATTTCAAGCCTTTATTTGTTATAATTTTGATGATTATGGCTCACAGCTTATGAAAACCCCAAATTCAAAATTAGAATATTGTGAAAAGGTTTTCATATCTGTAAGCCATAATCATCAAAATTATAACAAATAAAGGCTTGAAATATCTCACTTTGCATGTAATGAGTCTATATAATAAATTACTGTTGCACGATGTTCTAATTTCTATAACACATTATAAAGGCATTCATAATGTACATTAATGCATTATATATTTCCATAGATAATTATAACCAAAGGTCAAATGCTCTAAAATATTTGTAGATTCCTTGTTACATCTGACATCGGTTGTTTGTCATGCGTTTTAATGCAAAGTACTTTTTAATGGTCTACCAATTAATAGATAAGTATTATGTATTATAACTGTGGTTACAATTATTCATGAGACCATACAATGCATTACAAGGCATAATGAGTAGTATGATCTTATACATGGCTCTATTTGAATGTGTTTTTTATAGTGTAGGGATGATATGGTGATCATTAATGATGTGAATCGTTTTTTTAACTGGTTTGTTGAAATGAACAGTCCGAATAATTTCTCTAATCTAATCAAGCAGGAATAAATAACTTTAAAAACATTACAGAAAACCAGGATTTTAGAAAGGCGATACCTAACCTAAAGAGCTATTTTTGGCTATTGAATAACATCTACACAGACTCAGGTTTCACATATGATAAAACATTACAATGAGAAAAATTCTGCACCGATGGATCATCCACAATAAAACCAGGCAAAAGCGCATTACGACAGTAAACATCCTCGATGATGGGTTGAGGTTCATGCTTACCTGTCTCTGATGACATTGATGGTTTGAATCCCCTTCGTAGCCGCAATCTGAATAACAGCCTGTCCAACACCACTGTTAGCCGCGTTCTGGATCACCGTGTCTCCTACAATATACAGTTAGACTTTGGTGCATGATGAACAGTTGAGCACTGCCTACCTGAGGTAAATGCAAAATGAAAGAACCTGGTTTGAGCTCCTCGAAGTCTGTGAGCATCCTAAACGCGGTACAGGGGTTGACTCCTAAAGTGGCAGCGGACAGTACAGGAATGTCTTTCGGTAAACTCACTAGATCACCAGCCTTCACAACCGCAGCTGTTCTCCACGTACCTGTGCGGATCAATGCAGGGCTGTTACGTCCTGAGATCTGCTGGTGGGAACAGCAGGCGTGTGAAAGCACGTGTAATGTTCACCTATGCCAGCATCTCTAGGAATCACCCAGTCGCCGAGCTTGAGTGTTTTCACCCGCTCTCCCAGCTCCATCACCTGCCCCACACCCTCATTGCCCCCCACTGCTGGAAGCTCTGGCAGGAGGGCATACGTACCTGTTCAAACACACTCAAATAGATTAACACTCAAATCAAGAGTAGATGTAGCCTGGGAAAACCCAGACAACTTCCGGCAAATTTAGATTTGCTCTGAAAGTTAGTCTGGCAAAGAGCTCATTCAAGCCCATTTCCAATCCGTCGAAATCGAGGCACCAATCAGAAGCGTTGGGGCGGGCTTTACACGATGACGACAGCGCTGGGATTTTGAAGCAGATTTTGTAGCCTACATTACAAAGATGGATGCCGCCGTCGAACATCACTCGTTCCAATCAGCTATCGCGTCTGTTTTAAGCGATTTGAACGTTTCCTTTTTGTTAAAAAGCGAGCAAAGAACAACACTCGGAGATGTTTCTCCGCCGCTCTGCATACGTCATCTCCTTCATCGCTCTGATTGGGTTTAGGCCTATCCGCGACGTCCGTTGGTGACGCCCCTCTGGAAATGATTTGTCTATGACGCTTTGCCAGACCATAACTCAGTTACAACTGAGAATGCTCTGGTTTTAAGGCTAGAGTAGATGATCTTTTTAAAAAGGAAATCTCACTCAAAAAGAAAGAAATATGCCATTTTCACAATCAACTTTCACTATGCAATGCAATTAAATTAAATTTTCTACAATTATTTAAATGTGGCGTACGGCTGCACGACATCAAAATATGGCAAATGTGCATATCGTGATGAATTTAATAGGCTACTTCAAAATCTTGCGAAAAGTCAAAGTTTTAGGTCGACGCGTTCAGCAGGGCATGTGCACGCGACTGTTACTTACGTGTGACTTGCTTGACATTAAAAAGAGTTATTAAGTGCAATAAGCTGTGGAAAACAACTCATTACGCGCGCACAGAAAGCCGCCTCTCAGACCGCATATATCCCAGAGTTCAGTTCTCTCTCATCGCTTATTGCACTCGAATGGTCAAATGCACACACAGTTATGTCAAAATGTCGGTCACGGCGAGTCTTCGTGTAAACACAGTCGGTTATGGGATGTGTGTAAATATAATCTGTGCATTAGGTCTTAAAGTGACAGCAAACCTGCTGCTGTCTGTCAAACAACGAGAGAAAATCACTCACTGCTCCTGACTGAATAACTTTAGTAGCTTTAATATGAATCAGTGTAAATGTAATTCATGCAGTGTTTTAGTTTGACATTAGATGATTCAGTTTCTGAATTGTTTCTTACTTGAATGCAGATCACATGTAGGCCTACCTAAAAAATTAAAACACTGTTTATTTCATTTGCATCTTTGTTTTATTGTATTTGTCCTATTGTTTGTAATTTGTCTCTTTATTCTTATTCTTGATAAAGAAAAAATCTAAATAGCAAAAATAACTAATCGTCCACGTCCACCCCTAGTTTCAGCTGTTTTTGTTTACCTGGCTGGATGTTCTTAATGTGAAGTTTTCAGGTTGATATATTTATATATAATCTATATATTAGTTTGAGAGTTGTTGGTATTTAAATAGTTATTTTGTATATGAAAAACTATTTAAATATAATTTAAATTTATTTTACATACTTTTTTTTATTTTACATATCGACTATCACATTATTTAACAAGGTATCGCATATCTCAATTTTCTTTAATATCATGCTGCCCTATTTAAACTTACACATTACAGTAGTGTTTGTCGCTTAACTAAACTTAAAAAAAACTATTAATTTCCACCAAAATCAGCCTTCGTTTTCCTCATGCAAAATATATTTCACTTTTTTTTCTTTAGATTTTGATTTGCCCAAACATCCTGATTCTGAGTCAATGCATAGGTAATGCATTATTTATTAAAATCAATCAAATGCTTTGCTCTTGCCTTGAAGCATATTTAAATCCGAGGGGTTGATGGGAGCCGCCAGCATCTTCACCAGGACACACTCGGGTCCCACATGGGGCAGCTCCAATGACTCCAACCTGTCAATCATTCAGGACACGCAGTTAACTTTATCCGTATCAGTAAAGTGTTATTATCTATGGATGTGACACGCTTACTGAACAACTTGTGAGGGCTCCCCGTGTTTTCTGTACAGAAGTGCAGTGCTGTCTTTGACTGCAGACACAGAAAAGTGTTGTTTAGTGAGGACAGCTCCTCCATATCTGATCGGTTCATTACATGAAACAGGACCTGGAGCCCGGTACACGTGACGCCCCCGAATTAAAAAAGATGCGACTCGCGATAGTTTCATTTTAAAGCTGTGATATGTCCAAAATCAAGATGTCATCGTCTTGAGGCGTTTAAATAAGCACAAGAGAGCATAAGTCCGTGTTTACTATCAAGTAAGTGGCCATGTTGTTACCGTAAAGCCTGTAGTAAATGCGCCGTTCAATGAACGCTCTCCAGTCCAATCATGAAGACACTGCTAATGAATATTAATTAGCAATGGTCACGAGATCGCACACGTCCTGGACTGTCCAATCATAACCCAAGCCTGTTTTTTAGTATCCTAAACGTCGTCCATTGGCCATCCTAGCCAGCGCCCATTTAGCAAAGGCATATGGCAAGCCGCCTTAGCATTTAATGCCCCCTGGATCTGCTAGTCGTAATTTAGTGTTGATTAGTCAAAAATCCAATTCCATTGATCTATTCTGCATTTCTGACTCATCATAATAGAGTGGTGCAGGGATGACGCACTTTTGTAGGCCGACACGTCAAAATAAATTTTCTATGATGTCATTACATTCTAAAATAGTATTTAGTCTATAGTCAAACCTTCAGAGATATCCCGAATCAAATTTCGTACTAGTCCAATTTATAATTGCATATATATAGTCAAATTATAATTATGACTTGTCAAAACACAATTGTAACTACGTCAAATAAATTTATGGATAGTAAAACCATAGTTTTATATGCAAATTTTGCCTGCCATAAAACTCATTTTGGCGCATGTCCCATTACTTGATATTCATGAGGTGATGTAGAATTGAAAATGTACCATTGTGTCAGTAATATATGCACACAATTTTTTTTCTAGTTCTATTGAAGTCGCTGAAGGCTAAAACATTTTTGCTGTCAATAAATGTTTTATGGCAAATATTTTATTAAATCACATTAACAAAAATATTTATATCTAATGAAATTATGTACGCTAAATACAAATTTCTAACAACTACAAATTATAGTGCCTATAGACATTTCTTGATTATTAATTTTCATGGCAGTTCGAGGGCCGGAAATTTTCATTTTTAATCAATAAAATTAATTGTTACGGAAAGAGAAGTCAAAAAAAAGTTTTAAGGTATGTGGACTGATGTTAACAGATGAATTGCTTGTCATAGGATTTCATATGAGCATGAATCATTTGCAGCATAAATTTTTCTTTAAAAGTCAGAAGTATTGCAGTATTGTTTTTTATTTATTTCTATAATAAATGTAGCCTTCTAACCTTTAAACTGTATTCATATGCACATAATATATATTATCAGCACAAAAAGGTACACAGCTTTTGTGTTTTTAAACAATGTGTTTTAAACAAATCTGCATTCTGGTGTACAAAAACAAGCAGAGGACCAGTGCATTATGCCTGCAAAAGTGATTTTAATCATTTAATAAATATTTGTAAAAATTCTAATAATAGCTCTGCAATACAAAATTACTACACAAACCAAATTGACATTTCACTGGCAACAAAAAATCGTATAATGTTTGGTCTGCACAGTTTTCCGAGCTGGTGTCATGTTGTGCTGTATCTCAGTTTAGCACATGTTTTATTATTCATACCACAACACAACATATATTGTATTGTACTGTAAGAAATATTGTAGAGATTGTAAAATTGTGTCTTCATTTTAAATAGACAGCAACATATTTAAATAAATATTCAAACTGATGGAAACCTTTAGAAAACAATTTCTTATCCTGCACATGAGGGCAATATCTGACAATGATGATGATTAATGTGTGTCTACATGTGTTCATATAGTCAGAAACTCCTTATTCAGCAATACTTGTATTATACATAAATAAATTTGGAATTTCATTCACTACCTTTTTTGCAATGTTATTCAATTCCATGATAATGCCAACTATCATGATATGAAAATATGATGCGTCATGTCTAATTATGCCATAAACCAGTTACAAAATAAAACATATTTGAGTGGCCATCATTGGACATCAACGTGTGTCTTTAAGTGGCTCTTTAATACATATTATGCTATATGTTACATTAAAAGAGACAGATGATATTGTCTCATTATTGTAACTGTTCATTTGTCATTTGTGAAAAGGCTTTCTTATCCAGTGGCCCCTAGTGGACATAATTAGTATTACAGTCTTCCTCTGTTATTCACATATATATCCACCTCATACCAACTTTTGTGTGGATCGGACAAACATGGTTAAAAAAATAGATTAGAAAAAAAAAAAACCTTTCGTGTGGCAATTGATAACCACTGTATGAACGTGATTTTGGGGCCCTGAAGGATTCAGAGGATGATGAATGATGCTTCCCTGAATAAATTACACATCAAACATCTAATCTGCGGTTATGACAGGTGTAGCGCCCTTTATGGACAGATTGAGATGTAATTTGTCATTCATCTTCAGAATGATATATAGTGGCCAAAAGTGATGTCCAAAGGGGATATTTGCACAATTTCTTTTAATGACCCTTCAGGTTCAATTAAACAATCAACATAATATGAGTATAATATATTGGGAAGAAGAATATAAACTTGTCAAGAAACCCAATCTCCAACATTTCATGCATTTATAGGTTTTATTATGCACAAAAAATGCATAGAAAAGCAAAAAGCTCACATACATTGACTACAATGTAATAAGTTATTAATATTGTGTTGGTTCTCCCTTGTTTTTGAGTCCAGCGGCCATTCTGGGCATTGACATGTGGAAAATGTCCAAAGCAGAGCTTCATTGGCAATTCATGACATTAAATGATGAATTGCCAATGAATCTGCATGACAATTCAGATTTATAATTTCCCAAATCATTTATAAGTTCGGTTTTCAGTGGCTTTAAGGTCAGGAGACTGAGGAGGACAGCTGAAGACTTCAAAATGCTGAGCATAAACACTTTCATTGCTCGCAACTTTGTTTCCATGTGTGGTGTGTTTGGGATCGTCGTCATGTTGGAAAACACACATTTGAGCTCAAAACAGATCATTTATAGCCTACTTGACTATGTGTTCATCAGGATTCCCAAGTATGGTCCAATTTTAAAGTACAAGCAACTTTGTAGATCCTTCCAACACTGCTGCAGATCTGCGTCCCCAATATTTAGGACACAAAAAGAATAACTGGCAAATCAGTACAAATACAGTAGAGTTCTTAGACCTTTAACTCTGCAAGAATTAAATGTAGTTCTCTTTCATAGGTTCACTCAACGCTGCGGTAAGCGCAGTGGGATATTCTCTGAATGTGCCGATTGTCTGAAGCCTTATAGAATCACGCCAATTCATTGGCTGATGGCGTCCGCGCGATATGGCTCCGCCCCGACGCTCTTACGCCGCATCATTACATATTCGCGCGCGCGCCATCTGCTCCTCAGATTTCTCTACCTTCAGAACGAAGCGGTCACATTGCCCTTCGCTCGTGATTTTTCTGAGCTACATCTAAGGATTATTCTCTGCGCTTCTGCGACTGTTCAAGCGGAACTCTGTTTCTCCTTACGGTGAAGTTGCCATGGATTACAGACGCTGTACTCCGCCATGTGCTCGTTACATTGCTAACGACGACCCACACAGTAAGTGCGTTAAGTGTTTGGGTTTTTCACATGCACGTGAGGCAGTTATAGGATCGTCTAAATGCAAATTCTGTGAAAATTTGTTGCTCAAAACCCTCAAATCGCGGCTCGCGGTCTTTGAGAGGGAATCATTCGTCTCCCCCTGTCGCGCTCCCGAGGCCTCTCGAGGATCCGCGACATGGGGTTCGGATGTAGAGCTTGAGGATGTGGAGTTCGAGCAGACGAGCCCCGCTCTTTCTCTCCCTCCCTCCCCTCGGCACGCGCGAGGCATGCCAGTCGAATTTTCACACGATTATTTGCGCCCCAGCCCGGGAGCACGCTACGCGGTTTCTTTCGGGCTGGAGGATATACTTTTTACCGAGGCTTCCGACTCCGAGGATTTCGGGCCTACTCTCGCCGACGAGGTTATCCCGCCGAGCGGCCAGGAAGCGCGGCCTACGCTGAGCTTGTTGACGTGCTTTCGCGCGCTACGGAGAAGCTCACTATTGATTGGCCCGACGAGCCACGTGAGTCTCAGTCGTCGAAACTTGACGAAAGGCTTCTCAGTGGCCCTAATTCTAGGCCTCAACCGAGGAAGCTGCCATTTTTCAGTGATCTGCATCATGAGATCTCCAGATCCTGGAAGCAGCCTTTCTCTTCGCGCCTCACTAATGCGGCTGCTGCTGATTTTACCAACCTGGTAGGCTCTGTGGAACAGGGCTATTCCGCCATTCCGGCGATTGAGGAAACTTTAGCCGACCATCTCAGCCATGGTTTTCGGAGCTAATTCCTCTACTGGAATCTTCCCCCTGGAGGATCCCGGTCAGGGAAGATCTGCTGTCCCAGCTACAGGGCAGGATATGGCATCCTCGCCCAGACATGTGGAAGCTGTTTGGCCGATCAGAGGCCGTCGGCATTAAGCTCTGGTCTCCCAACTGACGTTCAGGAGACCATTGCGAGTGCTAGAGCCCCTTCTACAAGGAGATTATATTCTTCCAAATGGAGGGTGTTTGAGACTTGGTGCTTAGCACATGATAGGAGCCCAGTTAACTGCCCTGCTGGTTCAGTACTGGAATTCCTGCAGGAGAAGTTTGCTGCTGGAGCAGCCGCTACCACTCTCAGAGTTTATGTCGCGGCTATTGCAGCGCATAGGGAATCGGATGAGATTCCCCTGGGCAAATTAAGGTTAGTTTCTGCCTTCATGCGTGGGGTGAAGCGCCTGAAACCGGCTCGCTCCCCTAGAGTTCCCTCATGGGATCTTTCTGTTGTCCTAGAGGGTTTGACGAAAGCCCCCTTTGAGCCCTTGGAGTCAGCTCCGGAGAGGATTCTGACTCTCAAGGTTTCTCTTTTGTTAGCTTTGTCCTCATTAAAGTGGGTGGGAGACTTGCAAGCTCTTTCTGTTAGCGAGTCTTGCTTGGCCTTTGCCCCTGGCCTGGTCAAAGTTTCCTTGAGGCCGAGACCAGGGTATGTCCCCAAGGTTCTTTCCTGAACTTTCCGCTCACAGGTAGTTAACCTTAACGCTTTCCACCCTCCTCCATTTTCGTCTGAGGAAGATAGGAAGCTTAACTTGCTCTGCCCAGTTCGTTCTCTTAAGATATATGTAGACCGCTCAGGCGGTTGGAGGAAATCTAACCAGCT